CACACACACACACACACACACACACACACACACACACACACACACACACAAACACAGACACATCACAGGAAACAAAGAAATATTTTACCGGTAATTACAACAACCACGATATTCTCCATTGCCACCGTCACAGCAAGCGATATACACGTGCCATCCGCGGCGGCAAGGTTTGCGTCATGCGACTCCACGTTTCGGCCTGCGTCCCGATTTCGTGAAATTATGAATTCGTTCGTTTAGAGAAGTTTAATTGAATTCGCGGCGCTAATTTGCGACAAGATGCGGATCGATTTTTTCGCGAACGTGATTACTCATTTGGCTGAACCGCTCTCGATTTTATGCGCGTCGCCGGAGCGAGCCAGAGATAGAGAGAGATAGCAGCGAGGAGAAGCCGAGAGAGAGCGAGATAAAGAGAGCGGACAGGGCGGCACACGAAACACGCAGACGAGCTCTGGTGGTGCAACCTGGTGGTGGGCGCTACGTGTAAGTGCATTATATCATCAACGACAGTGCTAGCATAGTGACACACGGCACAGAGGTACGACACTATACACGCGTACATGCGCGTGCGCGCACACGCACACACGCACGCACGCACACACACGCACGCACGCACACACACCGCACAGCAGACTCACGGCACGCTACACGTGGCGCCACCACGCGTCTCATTGCAATACGGCAGCGGTTTAGATTCTTGATTTTATTCCACCCACGTAGGGATTGATGAGAGAGCGAGGGGGAGAAATGGTGGGATGGGGAGGGGGGCACCGGTTTCCGTGACTAATTTCGATTTAAACGGCAAGGTGTCTATGATCTCTCTTTAATCGAGAATACAAACGACGATGTAAAACGACAGTTTTCGCTTTCAATTTTTTTTTCAAGAAATCACAATATTCTACATTTCTCACGTATACTGTATTTGCTGACAGCGATCAAAGACGATGTTCCTCGCCCTCTCCTGTTCCCCTGCCCCGCCCTTCTCCTCCCCTTCCCGCTACCCCTCCCCACTCCACAACATTCGCCTGCAAAATCGTATGTTTTCCAAAGGGAATAATATCAAGAGCGTATTAAGAAGGACTTCTTAATACGATCTTGATAATATATATATATATATATATATATATAATAATATATAAAGTCATCTTGATAATTGGTTAAATAATTCACGATTCTGTCTGTTTTTAACTGCACATTTATCCCGCATCGCACCTTTGCATTGTGTTCGGCAAACGTTGAATCGACTTGGCCAGCCGAAAACACTTCTAGGTATTTAGATACGAGTGACGTTTGCGTACGTCACGAAATGCGTCAACCGATGGAGAGGGGGTTGAAGAGCCGAGAATGTGGGAGGAGGAGGGCGCGTGATGATTCACGAAGGTATGCCGTATTGCACTGAGATCTAACAGGCCGCCACTGGTGTCTGCCTGCATAGTTTGTTGGTTTGTACTGACAACGAAAAAAACAACAACAACGCCAACGTTGTCGTCGTCGCCGCCGTTATACGTAATTCTGTTACAGACACACGCTACTCACGTTGAATGCCTTGAGCCGTTCCGGGTCCATGCCTTGATTGACGGCTATCTTATCGTCATCGTCATCGTCGTCGTCATCCTCCTCTTTGTCCTTGACGGACAAATCCTCGGGACCATCTCCCTGGTTCTCTGAGTTCAGCTCGTTAGAGGACGTCTGAGTAACAAACGCAGAGAGAGCAGATGCAAGCGTTAATACGTGACATACACACTGGTAATGTGTTGTATGCTTTGTGAGATTAATGTAGATGGGTGCCGGTATAGAGTTTGCATGGCTGAGAGCCTACGTCGTGTATACATCTGTTCACATTGATCTCGGGATAGTAGAGGTTGGTAAAGTACCAAACTGGACTGCGCACAAACACACACACACACACACACACACACACACACACACACGCACGCACGCACGCACGCACACACACACAGTAAAACGTAAGCACCATGTATACGCAACCACACAACCATCGCGTCGCGCTTACCTCTGTGCTGTCCACGTCGCTGTGTCGCCGCTTGCGCTCGTTCTGCGCAAGCGCCGCCAGCTGTATCATGTGACTGCTGACGTCGGTCGTGTCGACTTGAGCAGAGCTGAATTTCGTGAAAGACTGCGGCCAGGCTGCCGACGCCGCGCTCGTCGTCGCGCTGCCACTCTGCCCCGACTTCTGACTCATGTCCATCGGCTCGTCCTGCAGTTCGAGCTTGATTGTCTTCACGATAGGCGGCGACTCTGTCGTTGTCGTCGTCGTCGCCACTGTTGCCGTCGTCGGCGGCGTCTCCGGGGGCTCGGTCTCGTCTTCTTCCGGCTCCTCCTCTCCGTTGGCGGTTTCCTCTCCCTCGGGCGACGCGCACGGCACCCCGCCCGCAAAGCGATCTGCGAACTTTGACTCTGCAAAACGCGCAACGTTGTTGTGACGTCATCATCGCGTCATCATCGTAGCATGCCTGACGACATCCAGTGTTAGTCCGATAAATTTAGACGGAGGGTTACATTTGCGTGCTGCGAATCAAAAGCTACAATTTATATGAGTTTTACTGTATAAATTAACCCTACCACAGCCATCAGACCATAGCGAAATGCTACCAGAAGGGTTGCGTTCGTTTGCATGTTCCCGCCCCTTCATGATCCTCTGTGCCAATCGCGGCGCCGCCTGCCAGCGTGTCCCCACACATGCATTCGACACGGCAGCCGAACAGACACTGTGGCTAGACCGAACGCAAGGCGAACATAGCTCTAGTTGCTTTTTCCCCTTTGTCGGGCATTCGCGATTTTCTACTCTGGCTATTTCCGAGTGGTGAGTCCATAAAATCCAGTTAATTGCCAGCGTCAGGTAACTTAGCGCTTTCCGCGGGGAACTCTCTAAACACTCGCTACGCATACGAACATCTCTCTCTCTCTCTCTCTCTCTTGAAATCACGCGAATTTAAGCAGGTAGTTTCCCACGAATTACAGAGCGCCACAGGTCGCGACGAAACAATAGAGCATTTTCGCGGTCGCTTCCGGTACGGCTTAGTATCGGCGTGATTTACCAGTTGTGACGCCTGTTTTCATGTTGCTGTACGCTGCGATCTAAATGGTTAAAGTTATCGAAGTAAAAACGTCATACAGCGGCGGCGTGCTAGCAACACGGTTATATATATATAGACTTCATCACGGTTCTACAGTGTCTGTGTGTGTGTGTGTGTGTGTGTGTGTGTGTGTGTGTGCGTGTGTGTGTGCGTGCGTGTGCGTGTGTGTGTGTGTGT